AAGCAAAAGAAAAGCACTGTATTTTTATGCATATTAAAACAATAAAATTCTTGTCAAAATAATAAAGCTATGGGTACACATCAAACATACGATATTAAACGAATAACAATTGATCTAAATAATAGACAAATCAATCACATACACATGCATACTAAATATTCACTGCAAATGGAAGGAAAAAATTAATTTTTATTTTTGTATAACGGTACATTTGATACCGTATTAAGTTTAATAAGACTGCAACACTAGAAGAGAATATTTTTTTTTCTCTCTCGTTCATTTCTCATATATAGAAAAAAAACAATAACTCGTACATACTTCTTTTGATCCCGGATGATCAGGTAATTCCAATTCACTGACATGTAATGGTTGCCCACCACTATATGGCATCAATACAACTTTATCACCAACAACAACCTATAATATATAGATATCTTTTTCCGTCTGTCTTTATAATACAATTACATACACGTTCTCCTTTTGCACGTAATTTATAATAAGGTTCAATTTGAAACCATGAACCTTCGGTTCCATTAACATCCAAAGAAACACGCATGGCATTTTTTTCCAAAAATGCAGGTAAACGTTTATTAACAGTTATATATTTATTACTTTTTATATGAATTAATTGTACTATTGTATCACCATATTTAATAATTGTTCCACTTTGTTTTCGACTTTCTTCTTCATTTTGTTTTTTTTTCTGTATCAGCAGCTACTTGTAATTTTTTTAAATCTCGAGCTGTATTAGGACTTTTTAATGCATTCCAATATTGTGTTTGAGCACTATACCGATGACTTGGACATATACGAAAGAGACAATCTATTTCAAAAGGCAAAATTGAATACACGTTTTGGTTTTTGCTTTTAGGTTTTACCTCGAAATTTTTTAGGGGGTTTCTGTAAATCACCGGCATCGGGTTGAACAACACAACGATCATCAACAAGACTAATTTAAAAAATATTTATAAAAAAAAAAAGTAAGAAATAATCATACCCAAGTGTACTTATAAATCCGCAAACAGCACCTTCAGCATATAAACCAACTGTATCACCAATTTTAAGAAAACTTGAGGTTAAATTTGATTCCATTATTCTATATTGATATCAACTTGTTTATCTATAAAATAATAAAAAAAAAAATTTTCTTTCTTTCTTTCTTTCTTTAACCTTATTATTGATAAAAGACAATGATTGATTAACAAAACTCATATCTATGTAATAACAATAAAAAAAGTTTTTTTTTTTTATTATCTCAAATGAATTGCCATCAATTCACATGATATACTCTAAATGCTTGATGTGTATTTATTAATACCGGATTTTATCATAAGAGCTAAATCGATTATATAATGACATTAGTTAGCTTTCTCACGTTTATATTCTTGCTTACTAATAGAATTGATAATAACATTGATCATCTATATCCGTATGTTCTATAGTCTGTCTGTCTATCGATACTATACATAATTAATGTCTAGAGATCACAGAATGATAATATTATCGACGCGTCTTAAATCAGTTGCCTGTCGCTAAGAAAGAAAAATGCACCAATTGAAGTTTCACAAGATCTATTTGTTATCTTAATATAAACAGACAAGGATTTTGATGTAATATAGTACAGATGTTAGTCATCAAGTAGCATTTATAGATGTAGGCAACTAAGAAATCAAAAACAACCTGCTGAGTAAATGATGTACATATATATTTATCCTTTGTTTTTAGCATAAGCGAAAAGAAGAGATAATAAAAGGAAACGATCTTTTGTTTTTGATCGATAAGAATAATAATAAAGATGTTTATTTTTTTGTACTATACCTTTAATAATCGTATTGTATGGAATTGTTAATAACTATCATCGTCAAATAAAATTAAATAAAATGGAATGATACGAATGCAGGAAAAAATTGATATCTAAAATTATATACATGTGTATATAAATATAAATGAAAAGTCTTTTTTCCTTGAGATGTATATATATATATGTAAAGCTGTATAAGAATAGAAAAAGCATTGCATATGTCAGTAAAAATTCATAAATTGTTTCAAATATTATAGTGAAGAAAAACTCAAACTATGTATTAATAAATAATGAGTAAAATATTCAGTATTAGACTTTTTTCATAATCAACTTGATTGCCATCTGTAAAATTTCTGTTTTTCCCTGGATCCATCGGGAAAAATATGTCACCTGACTTTCGAGAACAACATGTTTCTTATACCAATCTGTTGCACTTTGGTTCTTGCCATTTACATTTTCATTCTGCCAAATTTTGTTTGCCTCCGGACATCATACACTTAACATTCTATTATATATTTCCTTTTTTTTCAGTAGTGTAAATAAATTTGGCTTCGATGGTGCTTTACCATATATAAATGATATTCTTCAAGTGTTAATGTATTGAAACATACATTCATCATGCACTTTTTTTTTGTTATTTACACAGATTCATCAAAACATAATTAAAATAGAAAGAAAGAATAGAGAAAAGAAATTTATTAGTTGTTTGTATGTATATAGATATTTGAATGTATTTAAGCATTATTATTAGATGCAAAAAAATATAGTTATTAGAGTTGATTTAAGAAAAAAAAGAATATATATCTGACACAATTTAGATCAGAGACAAAAAAATAAACAAGTACAAAATAACATATATATCTGACAAAATTTACAAATTTTATAATCTCGTCTCGTTTTTAGTAGATAAATAAACGATTTGAATGTGTATATTTCTTGAAAAATTGACGCCCATCATCAGTTGGTGCCGAAAAAGCCAAATCAGGACGTTTAATAACAATACCAAAGAAAAAATTTGTTCTAAGAAAAAGAAACACTATCAATCAGTTTTTGGTCAAAATAAAAGTCAGCATGCTGTTATGATAAAGTCAATTAAATT